TTGTTGTTATTGCTGTCGTTGTTGTTATAGTAGCAGAATCAGTGGGTTCTAAGCCCTGCAAGCAGATGCAAGGTATGCAATTTTAATTTGATGAGTGTCACGAGAAGGCCAGGTGATGGCTCCTGCAGAGTGTCCATCCCTGTCTCCTACGAGACACAAAACATCCGTATCCAGGATCTCGTGAAGCTGTCATCTTGTGGTAAATGAGCTGATCGAGAAAGGACCAACTCGGCAAACCACAAGTACGTAGGGCCATACTCCAATACATCCGCTCTCCAACACTTCCATAACCCCCTTGCAATCTCCACTGCGGTCAGGGCAACAAACAGCCTCAGCGATGGGATCCGCATGGCCGATGGCAATGTCTGCCCGAGAAAGGCCCAACGCCTGGGGTCATGGGCCGTTGAAGGGGATGGGGGGCCTAGCCGCTAGCACAAGCACTGGCTTCAATGCAACAGGATCGACGCTGCCGAGCATCATCAGCTAGGGCTCTATAGGATCAAACCTAACTACTGTGTTATCGCTGTTGCCTTGTGATTTGCGACGCCACTGAGCTTAACTAATGTAGTTAGCTGAGTGCAGCTTCGTGGTCGTTGAAAACTGTCCTGTTCAGCCTCAAACTCTGATGCCAATCCAGTTTCACAAATGAAGGAAGCCAATCTAGAGCCTAAGGAGTGGGGATCCCTGTAACGAGGATCCCGCCAGTGCTAAGATGCCCTTTAAAGCCCTTCAACTCCCTGTGAATCCTGAGAAGGACCCCGTCAAAACGTGGCCAAGTAGTTTCAACCCGTGCCCCCCGCATCCCCCTTTGAACACCCCAAACACCCAAACCTAAACCCTAAACCCTAAACCTAAATCCCGAAACCCTTAACTCCAGCATCCTAAGATCTCCCAGCCGCCGTGCAGCCTCAAACTTCGCCACGAGAAGCGAGTCGGCGCCCTCCGAAACATCGGAGATTTAACAAGCAGATGGGGGACCTGCTGATAAGGGTTTAGGGTTTAGGGTTTAGGGCCCTAAACCCTAAACCCTAAACCCTTAGCACTAGGTTTTTATTCAAGCTCCGCAGCCCGAAACTTGCACTAGGGGTCTAGGGTTCAGGGTTCAACTTAAGCTGCCCTGGTAAGGAAAGCATGGCAGCTAGTTGCTATGAAACCCTACTGTTCTGCGAACACACCCTTAGATTCGTAACAATAGCCCACACATTGCACTGTTCTCACTTCCTTGAGGACGTTCAAACTTCAAACACCCAGCCCGGCTCCCTCTGTAGGAAGCTTGGAAGCCAGAGCTCTTCAACACAGTCCCCAGCTATCCCCTAACCCCTCAGGTACCTACTACATAGGGTACTAGAGCCCCTAGGGCCCGATATAGTAGGTACCTGGGGGGTTAGGGTATTATCGTCCAAGCCACAGTCCAAAAGCTGCAAACGCTTGTAGTCTCTGCTCTTGGTCTTATGAAGTCACTCCTGCACACAGGAACCCATGTGGTAGCCATTATGGCAGCCTTATCGCAACCTTCGACAGAAAAATCCTTGAGCCCGACCTTCGGGAACTCGCACTTCTCTGGCAGCCGCGCAGGGCCCTGCAACAAGGGCAGCGCGTTGGCCTCGGGGCTGCCTTTCCTCAGTGCCATGAAAAGCAACTTCTTAAATAAATATGGTCTTGGGGTACGTTGTATTAAAGCATAGTTGATATGGGGGTTGTAGGGTGTAGTTTTGGGGTTATTGGGGCAGAGTTATATTGGGACTACAAGAGCGCAGCATGGGCCGAAGATCTTAACTGACAAGACCCTGCAGCACACCAAACAGAACGGGCGTCTTGGGCAAGACGACGTGGGCTCCGCCATCCGACTCCTGTGCAAGCTCCATACTATGTGCATTGACCAGGTAGGTTCGATTGTTGCGATTTGTTCCGGAAGAGACGTAGATGGCTGAGTCTCGGCAAGGCATCGATTCTGCTTGCTGCAACTAAACTTACGAATTTTGGAAAAATAAAACACCACATGCCAACATCCAAGATGTCAATCTGCATGCCAACTTGATTCAGAGCTACGTCGTCGTGCTGCATTTTTCGATGCATCGCTTCATCGAGGTGGCGCTGCGTTCAACAACCGAACAGGCCGGACGGCAGTTCATCAACCCATTGAAGAGGCGATGTTGTGAACATGCTCTTATTGCACGTTGACAGTGCTGAAGCGGCCTTGTCGATGACGATCTGTAGGCCATGGAAGGCCAAGAAGGTTTTGGCGTGGTCGTCACTCACGAACGCAAGTATGTTCCTCGGCGGGTCCGGCAATCCCCTCGAACATCCAGTGCAGACCCTACAGCTCCAAATCAGATCCTGAAAAACACCCGAGGATCTTGAGCTTTGCCAAGGAGATCCGATCTCCCACCTGTTGTGGATAGGTTCGGACCTGATGCGGGACAGCTTGAAACTGCAAGCCCTGACTGGAATACCGCTCTTAAGTGTGCATCGTCTCACGCTCCAAGACGGCAGGCCGTGTCCATCAGCAACAGCTGGAAAAGCACCCAGGGTCCCGACCAGCAGCCACAAAGCTCTTAGTCTGGCCTTCGTCAAAGCACGGACAGGCAACTGCAAAGCTTGAACAGCAAGTGACAGTCAGTATTCAGCATTCACACCGAATCTGTCCTGAACGACTGTACGGCTTTGAGATGCCATCAGAACCAAGTACTCATAGACTTCGACTCTGAGTGGAGCACCAGGTCTGCGACACCACTCATTGCAACGGCAGAGAGGAAATCGGTTTCGCGGTAAAAACCTCCGGCCATAGTTCCGGCTTGGGATCTAACGGCACTTTGTGATTCGGGGCCGCAAGCACGATGCGTTGGCAAACGCGGATGTTTCTGAGTCCAGCGCGGAGAAATCTGGCATAGTCCTCCGTGTGGAAGGCGGCATACACCTTCAAGCTTGAAGTCTTGTAGTTTGTTGAATAGGGGAGGAGGAGCCGAGTACCGTTCACGAGGGTAAAGCAAGACAGTCGAACTTGCAGACAGCTTTTAAACGACCCGCTTCCGATTCCCGCAGAAAGCTAGAGCTCCTGCAGCTGACCAACTACAGTACTGTTTTCGAAAATTCTCGGTCTTAAATGGATAGTTTTTGTAGTCCGGTCCAGGCCACTGCGCAGTGCCTGCGTGGCGAAGCTCACCAACGGATGCATCAGCAACTCACGGCTCATCTTGGAGAGATGACTCGAAAGCTCCTGGCTTGGAAATGCCAAAGAAACCTGGACCTGCATGGGATCTCGTGTCTTCAAACCCAGGAAGGCTGCGCTGCTTGTGCTCGGTCCGCCTCTGCCGCTCAACTGCAAAGCCCTAAACAGGCCAGCGCTTCGTCAGGTGCGAACGACATCAGGAGGAGAACAATGTACCTGACCAAATCTCTCCGCCCCCTCTTTCTGCGATCCTGCATACCCGCATACCCTTCTCTGTCGGCCACCAAATCCCGCGCACGTTTCAGGCCGTCCAATCCTACTGGCTGCGTCACCCCCCCCACACGTGGTTGATTGGATGGCGCACCTCCTGGCAGCCATCTCATACGGAGAATAGTAGTCCTGGAAGTGCGCAGTCATTCACACAAAGAGCCCGGCCGTGTCACAAACCTATAGTGCTGGGAATCTTCTGCCGCACTTCCAGAAGTCATGCCTTCGGATACCCAATGGCCATGCACTCACATAGTTTATAGGTTCATGTGCAGTGACATGGTGTGCATTCATATGGCTAAAAGGACCGCAAAATAAGGTACCCCTCTATGTGCATGGCAGCATGGCACACCTCATCATCGTCTTCATCGGCCAGGCCGAATCCGCCCATGGCCTGTGCTCGGCGCAGCTTGGACGCAGCGATCGATCTGTTGTAGTCTCACTGAAGCCACTGAAGTACAACAGCGAACTCAACAATTACTGCGCAGTAGCCTTTTGACGACATGACAATGTGGCGCGCCATCCCTTTCTTGTGTTGCCTGTCTCGCCCGCTGTTCACCCTCTTTTGCTGCCATGTCTGTCTTCCGATCTAAGACCAGGAGGAAACGCAAGCTTCTGATTCTCATCGTCATGGGACGGCAGAATAGCCAGTCCCCGGTTCCACACAAGTCAAACTGCTGAACCTGCACAGGCCTCGGCGAGGATAGATTTTGCCACCTGCTTCTCGTGAAGTGCCTGGCACCATCTTCAGCAAAGACATCAGAAGTTCTACGCATGGCAAGAGGCCACACTGAGGAAGGAATCTTTCTCACACCTGCTGTATCTTTACAGCTGCAAGACCGTATCTTGAGAATGCAGAACAGAGCATTACTTTAGGATGCCGCATGCGGCGGATCTGGCGCGGGGGGAGGAGGGAGGAATCTCTGCGGTGAGGCGAACAACCCATCTGCCAACTCAAACAGCAAGTAGTGTACAAACCTAAGCCATGGCAGCGACAAGCTACAGCTGCAAAACAGCAGCATTCATCATCAGTAGCCAAGTCATGACTGATGACATCGTCGCCGTAGAAGTAGTAGCATCAGTCGTCATCGTAGTGGTCGTGGTCGCAACACTAGCAGCAGTAGTAGTAGTAGTAGTAGTAGTAGTAGTAGTACCGAAACAGGAACAGGGTTAGCGAAAGCAACAGCAGCAAAGACCACTGTTTGAGCAGGTTAGTAGTAGTAGTAGTAGCAGTA